AGCTTGAATCTTCTCCTCTGTAATGCAACTGATTGTATGGACTGGTGTCACCTGGTTCTCTTTGTATTGCCCTATGGGAATGGGTCTCAGGGAACCAGAGCAAAGGTAGATAGATATTCTAGATATTGGTATTGCTGTAATATGGTCTTTTGTTTCTGACCCAAAATTTTTTGTTCATGTTCGTTCATGAAACTGTTGAAGCCTAGTGTTTTAGCTTGTGGTTCAAGTAAAATCTCAAATTCTTGATAGCTATTGACATTGGGCTTCTTGTTATGTGAAGTAATGTACGTCCTCAATTATTAACTGCCATTTAACTTGATATTCTGTAATACATAGCTAAAAACATCCTATCCAGATAATATCACAATACTGTATATTTCTGAAAGAAAAGAGAAAATTACTGTCTAGGTTTATGTCATCTCAGAGTCAGTAACAAGATGCAGTGAAACTGGAAAATTTGGGTACTTCTGAAACCTTAATAAACTATTTGATTCCTTTGCCTCAGTTTTATCGTCTGTTGAATGAGGATAGAAAATCTTCCCTACACAGATGACGGTAATGCTTTGCATATAGCACATATGGTCACGTTATCGAAAAAAACAAATAATAAAATTTTATATGGATATTCCCTAGAAAGAAACTTAAAAGTGTTTATATAATTAGTATTTGCATCCCAACATTTTTTATTACAATGCTAGTGCATACAAATGGCAAATGTATAGAATTCTACAGTAAACACCTTTTCATTTTATTTCGTTTTTGCAGGGATAGAACTGCAAAGAGATAAAGTCTTAGACACAACTGCTGAATTATTTCTTTAGATGCCTCAAATTAGAAAGTATGACCCAATCTTAAAAGCCTGTGAGCAGCTGTCTCAGATACTCCGCTGGTCTCACCCCTTCAGGAGCAAGGGAGAATGAAGAGAACAAGATACAAGGAAAAGATAAGTCCAAAGGACTAATGAACCACAGCTACCAAGGCCTCCAGCAGACTGAGTCCAGTACAGCTAGATGGTGCCTGGCTACCACACTGACTGCTCTAACCGAGATCACAACAGAGGGTCCCGGACAGAGCTGGAGAAAAATGTAAAACTAAATTCTAACTCACAAAAAAGGCCAGACTTACCGGCCTGACAGAGACCGGAGAAATCCCGAGAGTATGGCCCCCAGAAACCCTTTTAGCTCAGTAATGAAGTCCCTCCGGAGGTTCACTGTTCAGCCAAAGATTAGATAGCCCCATAAACAAACGAGACTAATGGGGCACAACAGTCTAGGGACAAGGACTAGAAGGCAGGAGGGGACAGGAAAGCTGGTAATAGGGAATTTAAGGTTCAGAAGGGACAGTGTTGACATGCCATGGGGTTGTTAACCATTGTCATAAAACAATATGTGTACTAACTGTTGAATGAGAAACTATTTGTTCTGTAAACCTTCATCTAAAGTACAATAAAAAAAAAAAAAGAGAGAAAATATGATCCAAGCAGCAAAGAGGAAGAATTTCTCTCTCTTTCTCTCCTTCTTTCCCTTTCTTTTTCCATTGGTATTCTACGAATATGTAGCCAAAGCTACATTTAATGAATTCTTTGTGAAGTAATTATCAGTGGACAAAAATTCTGTTAGAAATTCATTTACCAGTCTTTCTTTCCCTTCTCTCCCCTTTCTAGAAGAGTCTCCATTCCATCTAACATATGAGGCAGTGAAACCAAAGGGGTTGGAGAAATTCATAGAGGTGTGGGTTGGCAGGATTTGTGGTTACCAGGGACTCAGAGCATTGTTGGAAAGTTGGAGAGCCAAATAGAACATAGAGAAGCAGACTGGTGGGCTTGGTGACCAACAGTGGAGCTGATGGGAGTATATTGGAGAGGAAGAATAGAAAAGATGGCCTGAATGGCTAGTGACCACTTACAATGAGAACATAAGTGTATTAAATAAATAATATAGAGTCTCTCAAAGCAAGATAAGATATTAACAAACACAGAAAAGGAAAAGTCAGGAAAGAACCATGAAGTGTTGATGTTGGACTGAAATTAGAGATATCAGTATGGATTCATGATTTTATATATACATACAGTAAGAGAGTTATAGTTGTATATGCATTCATATACATATTTTTCTAACTTCTGCTCATTGATAGGACCTTGAAGCAATGCCACTCCTCTAACAAGGGGCACAGTGAGTACTAAAATTTTGATTTCTAAATACTATCCTCATTAAAAGACACAAGCACTCCTTGGAGAAATGATTGATTCAAAGGCTAGGGCAAAGAAAGAATGAGATGAGCCTTGAATATCTTATTGTGCCTGGAATTAAAGTGATGTACGATGAATGTTGGGGATATATCAAAAGCACTCAGAACTCAGTTGAAATGGAATTATTTTGGCATAAAAAATAAATACTGATAGCAATGGATTACAATCCCATTGAATAAAATACGAATCCATAATTCTATACTAATATCAATGAGTGAATGAATAAATGAACGAAAAGAAAATGTATTCCTTCCAATAGGATGCCAACATTTTTAAAGTAATAATGAAAATAGAGAATTGTCATTTGACAACCATCGGAGTTATTGATTGGTAAGGAAGGAGGTGTCAATGGATACTAAATCTATGTGGTGGTGATTTGATTAGGCACTGGATTTTGATATAATCTTAACATGTTTCTCTATTCAATTGCAATTGGCAAATGGTGAATTTAATTTGGAGATACCAGTATAACCAGGTGGTTAAGGTTAGTCACCAGGGAAGGTGTTGGTTGACATCATGTGTCCCGTGAAGACACATGTACAGCATCATTTCTGTGTAACTCCTACCAAAAATGCATGACCTTAGTCAGGACATGAAGAAAGGTTGAATGGAGTCAGGTTGAGGACATCCTACAGAATATAAGGCCTGTTGCCTTTAGACATATCAAGGACATAAAAAACAAAAAAAAAGCAGGAAAACACAAGAATCTGTTTCAGGATGAGGGACTCTGAACAGACATGATGACTAAATGCAACATGGATTCCTGGATAGAAACCAGAACCAGGAAAGGGAAAGTATCACTGGGGCAGTTGGCAAAATTGTAATGGGATGGTAGGTTTGGATGATGGTAGTCTAACATTTTGATTTTCTGATTTGGAGGGGAGTATACATACCGTTCTGTTTTTGGGTATTGGGACATCATGTCTATAGTATACTTTTGAAAAGTTCAGGCATGACTACATATATATAGAGAGAGAGACAGATTGGGTGATGGAACAAATACAGCAAAATTGTAACAATTGGAAGATATCAGTAAGGTGACTATAAGATTTCTTTTCAATAAAAATCATTTAAAATTTTAAAATATATACATTTGTTGTAGCCAATATGAACATTTAAATAACATAATAACTGCAATTAAAATGTAAGTTGGGTATTTATTACATCATTCATTAAACCAGTTGCCATTGATTGAATTCTGGCTCATGGCAACCTCATGTGTGTCAGCGTAGAACTGTGCACCATAGGATTTTCAATGACTAATTTTTTGGAAGTAGATCTTCAGGTCTTTTTCTCCAAGGTGTCTCTGATTGGACTTGAACCTTCAAACTTCAGGTTAGCAGCTGAGTGTGTCAACCGTTTACACTACCCAGGGACTCCTGTCACTCATTAGTTAACAAATATGCATCTACAATCTGCCATTACCCCTCCCTCATACACACACACACACACACACACACACACACACACATACAGAGTATTAGGTGCAGGGGTTAAAGAGAACAAGACGAACAAGATCCCTGCCCACAGAGATCTAGATTTGAGCGGAATTCTTATGCCATGTAGACGTTTATGACAATTTCCCTGAAGTAACTAATTCATTAGAACATTGCTTTTATTTATATTATTTTAGACCGTCCAGGGACCTTATGAAATAAGATAAGGAAATCTGAGGAAGAAACAATAGTGTTCAATGGTATTATAAATATAGTCACTAAAGCCTCTTTATGGTAAACATACTCCACTTCCTAATAGTCTAAGAGGTATATTGTATTCCATTATTACTATCAGAAATATAAAATACAGATTTTTGTTTTTTTACTTTTCTAAATACCTTCACAACCATGATCTCATTTTGTCACAACTAAAGTGGTCTAGTACTGCACTGTCTCTCAAATGATAAATACCTTAGTCTTTTCCTTCCAGGTCACACTTCCTCGAATTTCAAAGGTCAGCAGGATTCTGAATAAAACAGTAAATATCAAAAACCCTTATAAATTGTGATGGAGGCCCCAGATGAAACATTATTTCTAAAGTGCTTAAAATGAAACCATAAAGAAGATGGTATTCACAGTACATTGACACATTATTTATAAGTTCTTTTTTTTTTTAACAAAAAAAGCTCTTATTGACTTTAACGTCTCCTGTACTCTAGAATATATCAGCCATAAATATAGACTTTCAAAACAGCAAAGAAAAAAATTATTAAAATTCCTAACAAAGTTTGCAATCCCAGTAAAGATTTATGTTTTGCTTTGTTTTTTTCAAGTTGCAATACTTTTTGTAACTGGGATTTGGTAAACTGTTAAAAATAAAATAAATATTATTTTGATTTAACTCTATTATTTTGATTTAACTTTTATACATATTTGAATTTACTTTATTTCCACATGCATAGTAGTCATTCAGAATATGTGCATATATGAAAGGTAGAATTCAACTGTGAACGTATTTGTTGAACGGATGAACAATCTTGAGCACAATGCTACTACACACAAGAGACAAAAGAAAAAAAAAAGTTCCTCAATTGGAAACTCACTCTGATAACAAATAAATATTAATACAATAAACCATTCCATTAATATATTCATGAACAAGGGATAATGAAAATTTAGAAAAAAGTATGACTGTCTCTAATTGTGGAAGTACTGGGAATGGCTTTCTGGGAAGATTACAATGACTGAGATTTTAAGATTGAATAGAAATTTGTCAGTCCAAAATCAAAGGTTTCAGAAGAAATAGAAGTATGTGAATTGCTTCTCGGCCTTTTGGCTAAGATCAAGCGTAGTATTTGTTTTTATCAGTTTAATATCTGATACGTCCTCTATCCGAGGACAATATATTAAATGGATTTTTGGAGCCGGGAGATGGAATAGAAGCTTGCTCTGTCCACTCCACGCATCGACCTGGTATTGCAGTACCTCCAGGAACGGTGCACCCCTCAAAAAAAAAAAAAAAGTATGTGAAAAAATATAGAATGTGATGGACATATTTAATATAGTCTCAGCATAAAGTGTGTGTGTTTGTGTGTTTGTGTGTGCGTGCGTGCACATATCTGTATGAATGTGAAATTGGGTGAGTTGACGAGTGGAGATTGCTTATTGAGGTGAGAATTAACAGTAATATAGCGACAATACCATGAGGAATTTTAGGTGCTTAAGTTTTACTCTACCAAATACAAGAAAATGGAAAGTAGATGAAGCGTGTTAGGTGGAAGAAACATGCTATTATAAGGAAAAAAGAAACCCATAGTTAGCAATTGGATAGTATACATAAAAAAAATGATTATTAAAACCTGCTGCCATCTAGCTGATTGTGATTCATGGTGACCCCATGTGTTACAGAGTAGAGCTATGCCTCATAGAGTTTTCTTGGTTATAGTATTTACAGAAGCAAATTGCCAGGCGTTTTTACTGCAGGTTAGCAGCCAAGTACAAATGGTTTGTTCCACCCAGGAACCTCTAAAATGCATATTAGCAATGGAAAATATGAAAAATCGTTACACATTGACTATTTAGAATCTGAAATGATGCTTAATTTAGGTTTCCATTGGTATTAATTTTGCCATCCCTAAGGTAGGGTCACATTCTGTGTGAGGTCACTCACGTTGCTGCAGAAAGAAGGTGACTGGGAAGAGATTGAGGAAAATAATACCATCTGTGTTCACAGGCTTGGGATGCTCACGTCGCGTTATAAACCTCACTGCCACCATGCACCTGGAGCTGTGTAAAATCCTCTTTTTCCCCATTTTACAAATTTCTCTAAAGACAGTATATGGGGCATGGAGGTGTATGTGCATGTTTGTATTTACATGTTGCCAATTCCTGGTCTACCTTCACACGATAGCTATAGTTTCCTTTCAAAAACACAAATCAGATCATGGTACGTCTTTACTTAAAACCTTCAGTGGCTTCCTATTACACTTAGAATAAAATCTAAACTTCATTATATGACGTACAGGACCCTGTAGAATCTAGACTTCACCTACTTCTCCAATTTAATTTCAGACATTCCCCTTTCACTCATTTATTTCCAAGCATGTTGGCCTTCTGTTAGTTTCTAGAATAACCCATGCTCTTCCTGAACTTGAGTTTGTTGTTCCTCTGTCCAAAACATTTTTTCCATTATCAGGACGTCCCCTTTATAAACTTCATATTGCAGATTAAATGTCACTTAACTCAGAAAGACAATTCCATATGGTTCAACCTAATACCACATTATGCAGCTCTCCATGGACACAGTGACATTAACTGTTGGAAACAAGGTAGAAACAGTTGGCACAATGGGATGCCTACAGGGCTTGGACTCAGATCTGTAGTTCAAATTCCAGTTGTACAATTTACAAGCGGTGAGTGCTTGGACAAGTTCCTTAAGCAATCTCTGAGGCTCATTCATTCTATTTTACATTCATTCATTCAACTGTATGTGACAGGCACTGTTCTAGACTCTGGGGATTAAGCAGTTAACAAGGCAAACAACATTCCTGCATTTATTAAGCTTTCATTGATGCTGGGCCATACAGATAGATTATAGATATATATTACAATGTCAGGGAACAATAAGGGATTATACTAGGCTAGGGCCTCTTTTCCACAGTTTGATCAAGAAAGGTCTTTCTTAGAAAATGACATTTTAGGAAAGACCCATGATGGAAAGTTAGTGACAGATAGACCTTAAGCAAGTACCAATGCAGAAATAATATCAACACATTCAGGGATTTAAATTTACAGATACCAAAACCTATTTCACTGGATTGTTGTTCTGGTAATTAAGTGAAGTGTAGAGTGTGAATCATAGTGCATGAAACATAATCAGTACTCACTAAACATTTGATCCTTCCTTACCTTTTCCATCCACCGCCAGTCCTGAGAATAAGGAGGACTGGAAAAGTTATAAAATCACATTGATGTTTGCTGGCTGATGTTACTGCCTACAATATTTTGCCCTCCTTCACTCCATCCCTCTGCATGTAAATAAATGGCAAGTTACGTCTCACTATAATACACTAAGGAAAAAAGTTATTTCTTTCAAAATTCTTGACCACATTTTCCATAGTACTATGGTAGACATTTCTAGAAATTAGAATTTCCTGGTAATATAATGTTAAAAAAAAAAAAGGAATTTAAATTCTAACCAGACTTAGTATGAGTCTGTGATCCATCACTTGCTAGTTGTGTGATCTTTGTTTAAATTATATCATCTTTTAAAACTTAGTTTTTCAGCTGTAAGCTGAGAAACATGTTATTCATAAAAGTTAACATATGTAGTGTGCTCACAATGTCCCAGTCACTGTGTTAAGCATAGAAGCATGATGCATGTGCTAACACATATATTGTTCACAACCATCCTCTGAAGTATTTGTCCCGTATCATCTTGATTAATTCTCATGGCAACACTATGAGGTAAGCACTATCATTGTCTCCATTTAACAGCTAAGGAAATTGAGGCAAAGTGAGGATGAGCAATTTGCCCAAGGTCAAAGAGCTAGTAGGTAGCAGAGTCAGGCTTTTAACCTAGGGAACTTGAGTTGGTGCTGTTGACCACATTTGCATAACGTATTCCATATATCACGGACCAATTTCTTATAGAATTCATGTGGGCAACTTCTAATGTTGGAAATGTAAATATATTGATGCTTTTTCATAATATAGACACAGCTCTCAACTCTTGTTCCTGAAATGATTTCATTAGAATTTAGTAAATTTGGGTGGCATTAAGGAGTAGAAAGGAAATGTATTTTCTTACTTTGAGAGTTCACAGTTATTGGAGTTTTTTTGTTTTGTTTTGTTTTGTTTTGTTTAACACAATCCATTGGCAAACTTGTTTGTTCTAGCAGATTTACTCTGAATGAGAAAACTTCAAATTTTGTGTATTTCTAACCAAATAATGTAAAAATGTGCAATTTATGAAAGCCAAAGCAAATGTTATATATACAAAGCAAATATTATATTATCAAATATTATCAAGGCAAAACACTCATTTTGGAAATAGTCTAGATTTCTGTTTTCTCCCTCCGCCCAAACAAGTGCCTGCTTAGAGCTTTCATCCATCAAATGAGATATTGAGTTAGTATCCTACGATTAATGGACGAAAAAGTAGTATTGTCAGTATTCTATCCTCATGTCACTGTCTATCAACATCAAATCAACCATACAAAAAGAAGAAAATGCTTGCTTTTCGTGTTCCACCTTCCAACACCACTTCCCATGGCTCTTCTTTAATGAGTACTTAAAGAGTATCTCAGAAGAAAGAGATCTAAGTGTGACTCTGAATGTGTCAATAGCTTGAAGAAAGTTTTGAACCTCAATAAACTAGTTTCTACAATAATGATCATCACGGCTTTACAGAAAAGGCAATGAAGAGATCTTCTTGGAAGCAGTCTAGAACATTCTTAGACTCAGGGTTGCTTACTGTTTACCATATTAATTTTTTATTGAGGATCATGTGAGCTTGTTCATCCCTCTCCGCTTTCCCCCACTAATATACTTTGTGCCCATGCTTGCATTATGATACATGGTTTTTACAAATTTCTAACTGTTACCTCTGTACTGAGGTGTGAAACCAACACCTTTATATTAGGTGTTATTCTAGACCTAGGGACATGAGTGCCATCTGCTGAAATATTGCTTATGCTTCCTATCTCACACAGATTAAAACGCGGGGGTTTTGAACCCTAGGATCCAATCATGTGGTACTTCAGTAATCTATAAAACTCAAAGATATGGTGTATCTTTGGCATTCTTTCAGTGTAAAAATAGGTCATTAAATTAATTATCTAAAACAATTGTGTCATTATATATTTATGGATTTTTAAAATGGTATGGTGTATTTCTTTTACAAAATGTCCTCTAACGCTTCCTATCTGTCCTTAAGTTACATATAGGTTGAAAAAAATCTACCAAGGAATCTTGTGAGAAACACTTGCTTTAGTTTTATTGCTGTTGTTTTGCCTTTTAAAAAGAAAATGATTGTTTTTCCTATTTAATAGACACCAACCAGTTGCCCTCAAGCAGGGGTGGATCATCCAATAGGCAAGGTAAGCACATGCTTACCTTGCTTACTGGGTCATCAGCCCGTGTCAGTGACCGTAAATTTGAAAAGAGGCTTTAATTCTGTAGGAAGATTCTGAGAAGTGGGGAGAGAGACAGATGACAGTCATACCCAGAAGCAGAAAATTTGATGTTGTGAAATTGTTCACTACAGATGATCTGGTAAGCAAGGTAAGCATGTGTGTCAGAGTAGAAGTGTGCTCCATAAAGTTTTCATGACTGTGACCTTTTGGAAGCAGAGAGACAGCCCTTTCTTTCAAGGCACCTCTGGGTGGATTCAAACCACCCTTTCGGTCAGTAGCCCAGTGCTTAACTATTTGTGCCACTCAGGAACTCTTATTTATAGAAACACCACTTACTAAACCTAAAATGTGAACAGTTGAGAAACCTAAAACATGGAATCAATAGTCTCACTGCTCAAGTATGCCCACCATTAAAACTTTAGGTCTCATTCTCTTCAACTTGTGTTATCAATAACAAAATTAATACACATGCAAAATAATCTTCTTTCCTCTTTTCATAAATGCCTTAAAATAAAGGACATTTCTTGAACTCCTGATTTGGGCTAGTAAACAGTTAATCTGGTTCTAAGGTTAGTTCAATATCCCACAAACTGGATGCATGTACATTTGGAGTTTGTAGCAATTTGACAAAAAAAAAATTTTTTAATTAACAATTTCATCATGCCTCTGGATGTTAAGTACTGCAGTCTTTCAAAAAACAGAGCTGCAATCTTTTTAAAAAAATTTAGTTACTATCATTCACATTCTGGATTCATAATTTTTCTTTAAGTGTATAAATTTGCTTGATTAGAAAACCCCCATTTAATGTTGTGTTGTGCTTTGCTTTTTTTTTTCCAAATGGCATTTTTGATTCACCTTAATAAATACAGTC